TTCCCCTGCCCCCAGAAGGAGTTTCTAGCGTTTAGGAAGGGAACATTGAAATAACTGGTCTGAATATTTATTAGGATTTGTACAATCCTTGGGGAGGTGTCCCCAGATGGAGACTGAGGGAGCTGATTAATAGTCTGGAGTCCTGGAGAGGGTTTTTTGTTCCCTGTGGAGGAGAGTTCCCAGCCACAGGGGGGCTATTGCTTCTGAGGCAACCCATGGACTGTGTTGCTGCTCTGAGGGTTCTCTGGTTAGCAAAGTTGAGACCTGGGAGTGATCTGAAACTAGTTGCTGGACCCCATCTAAGGAAATGGGTCTGTAGAAGCATTATATGACTCACAAGAATGTGTCTAGAGCAGGGGTAGGCAACCTGCGGCTCTCCAGCTGTTGTGGAACTACATTTCCCGTGAGGCATTGCAACATTACAAAACTGACAGTTACAACTATGACTTGCAGAGGCATGATGGAACTTGTAGTCCTGCAACAGCTGGAGAGCCGCAGGTTGCCTACCCCTGGTCTAGAGGAAGCTGAAAACTGGCAGCTGTCCTGGGAACTTGTGAGTTGTGTCCTAGAACTGACTTCTAGTGACTGTGTACTCTTTGGGAAGTAAGTGCCAGAGGCTGCTTCTACTGAGATGGCTCCCATAGGGTCTCAGATACTGGCCATTCCCTTGTCCTCAGTAAGATTATGATCTGTGAGCTTACTGAAGAGTGCCTACCTGTTTTGTTCAGTGTTCCTGAAATTGCCCTGGATACCTATAAATGTGCCATTGTACAGGGTGACCAGGTGCTAAAGAAACTTCCTTACATGATCCCTAGCTGTGTGGCCTTAGACTGTCCTATATAAATATATATAGTGCTGAAGAAGAAGATTTTCCTTTTACAGCCAATTGCTAACCACTTTGGAGTATCCCATGTCCCTACCCATCCACTGTTGCAAGTTCTTCAAGCATTACATTACAAAAAGACAACCCCTAGACTGTTTATTTGAGCCAGAGTGATTGGACTGTTGTTGTTTGCCTGGCTACCTCTGCATTGTTTTGGGAAAGAACCTGTTACAATCAGCAGCTCCTTCAGGGGTAACACTACATAAGAATGAGAGCTCAATCCAAGTATATAAATCAGATCCATATGAAACATTCCAAGCGAAGTCTGAATGCAAAAGTTTTGCATTTCTGAGATTTAAGGTTCAATGTTTCAAAAATTGTGATACTTTCTCACCTTTACCAGTCATAGTCATGCGTTTAGAGCAGAGCCTTGAGCAAGAGACCTTACAGACTGCATGATCTATCTTTGAACAGTTTGGTCTTTCAGTGGCTTCAGTGGGAGGACATGTGAGTAAGCACAGCAGCAGTTTTTGAAGTGCTTGTTATTAGATATCCATGTGAATGCATATGCAATTGTTTTTTTTTTTAATAAAATCAGTTTGTCAGAGAACACTATGGATTGTCCAGTGTAACCACTGGGGATTGATATCCTGATTGTGCACCTTTCCTCCATCGATTGGATCCATCTGGTTGACCTGGGTGTAGGGATATTGTAATCTGTTGTCTTATATCAATTATTATGGATAACTATAGCTTTTCTTTTCCTAGAGAGATTTAATGGGCTCAACGATAATCCATAAAGCAGGACGAATGATGAGTGTATATTTATAAATGTACTTTTCCCGCAGCAACTAGTCCAACAGTTCTTTTCCAGAGATGCATTTAATCAGTTCAGCGACAGTTCATAAAACAGAGGTACAGAGAAGGCAGATGACAGTGTATTTGGAATATTCATGCCACCATCAGAAACCCTCAGGACTCACTTTCTCGTGTCACAACTTAACCAAAAGAAACTTCCTTAATATACACATTCTCCCAATTCAGTGTAATGACAAGCACTCTGATTGGCCACTTTTAAGAGCCCTTTTGATCTTCTGGGTGACAGGTAATGCCTTTTGGGCTTGGACAGCTGCAGTCATAATTCTAATCAAAGTTGTCCAGATATTTCCTAAACTACATTCTTTTACTATTAATTAGATAAACAAGTTACTCTTTGAAGAGTGCTATTTACCATACTTAATACACCTTTTCATGTTATTAGATAGTAGATAGTAGTCCAAGTCCTTTCAAGTGTGTCTGAGCAATCTGCATTTTATCAAGTTTGCAAATTACCTCCTTTGAAATGTAACAAGTCAGCCCCCAAGTGCCAAGGTGATATTGCATAAAATTAACATAGCAAAGAATCCTTGGCTATGCTTTTGTTGAGTAAAATACATCTGACCCTTTACAATCTAGCTTTTGCTAGCAGCACTCCACAGAAGCTGCCCTATTAAAAACTCACTAACGATTTACTAACTGGTAAAACCAATGACCACTACTCCATACTCTTAGTATGAAATCTCTCTGTGGCCTTTGATTGACTGTTGACCACCTTTTCAATAAACTCCACTCCCTTGTCCTAAAAATTTAGCTCTTTCCTAGTTCTCCTAACTATCATAGCGCTCCTTCAGTGTTACCTATAACTCCTCCCCACTTCCTCTTCCCTCAAGACTGTTCTTAGACCCCTTCTCTATCTACACCTCCTCTGTTGGTCACTTGATAACCTCCCACGGTTTCCAATACCATCTCTATGCCTACGACACCCAAATCTATGTGTCTACTCCTCACCTCACTCCTTCAGTCTCCTCTCACATTACTAACTTACTAACTGACATATCAACATAATAAGTTTCTATAAAACTGAGCTGATATTCCCCCCAGCTCATGCCCTCCTCAATGACTTTTGAATCAAGATCAATATTACAACTATCAGTCCCTCCCCTCATGCCAGAGTACTAGGTGTAATCCTAGACTCTGACCTGTCCCTTTGGCCCCATATCCAATCGCTGTCAAAGCTTGTAGACTTCACCTCCGTAACATCTCTAAAATTCAGCCTTTTTTAACCAAAGAAACCACCAAGCTACTCATTCACTCCCCTGTTATCTCTTGCCTTGACTATTGGAACTCCCTTCTCATAAGCCTACCTCTCCATAGGCTATCCACTCTTTAGTCTATCATGGATGCTGCTGCCAGACTATTCTACCTTACCAACAGCTCAGCATCTACCACCACTCTCTGCTAATCCATCCACTAGCTTCTGATTGCTAAGCGAATTCAATTCAAAATGTTACAAACAGCATACAAAGCACTCCACAACTCTGCTCCAAGCTACATCACCAATCTTGTCTCCAAACATCACCATCCTCTCCACTCCTCCCAAGACTTCCTGCTCTCAAGCTCTCTTGTCTCCTCCTCCCATGCTCGTCTCCAGGTTTTTTTTACAGAACCTCTCCCATCCTCTGGCACTCTCTTCCTCAGTCTGTTCAGCTATCTACTACTCTGGCTACCGTTAGGCAATCCATGAAAACTATCTTCAGGAAAGCCTCTCAAGCCTCCAACCAACTTAACTTTTATCACTTTCATCAGCTCATCCAATGTTGACGCTATATAAATCCTGTATAGTAATAATAATTTCCAACACTAGTTCACATTTTAATTGCGTTTCTATGGACTTTGAAGAGATCTTTTTCATGGACTTCATGCACGTTTGTATGAATTACATTTTTTTAGTTCTTAATTGTTGTGGTCAGTGACTATTGATGTTTGTTTTGCAATATTGATACTTTTTTTTTTATAATATTGATACTTCAGATATTTGTGAATTTTGATCACATCATTACATTGTTTATTCATTATTATCTGTCAGTGACACACAGCGCCATCCATGTTCATTTCACAATATTGATATTTTCCTTCATGTTATTGATATTAGTTTTTTTTATAGTAATTGCGGCGTCTTTATATTCAAATCTATGGCACGATTGTATATGATTGGTGGATGTGGAGTATCTACATTCCTTAGCAATGACACTTTGATACATCATGCCTTTAGTGTGGCCCATCTGTGTTATATGCATATATATAATATCATCTGTCATCTTCTGACACAGAACATTTGTCAGTCTGAGATGTCATATTTCATGTAAAAAGTGGCATATTGGGCAATATTAACACGTGTGACAATGATAGTATAATTAGATTTTTCAAAGAAGTAAAAAGATGCAGGTGTCATAAAACCTATAATTTCTCCCTTGTGGTTATAACATCTGAATCCTGAATTTTTTTTTTCTACTTGAACTTGATGAAAATAATATTTGTGGTGTTTAGGTATACCTGTTATGAGAGAAATATGGAGACTGCCATTACTGAACTCTTTTCTGGTTTTCATGCAAACCCTTTGTTTTTTCTTTTTAGTATTTTATAAAGTTTTACAAAATACAACATATGGCAGACACTTTGGTACTTAACACTGTAAGTCTACATTAGAACATGTATAAATATATACAGGAATTTTAGATTTACTCTGCCTCTCTGACATGCATGCATATTGTGGGCCAGTAACTTGGGAAGTATTAAAGCCAGTCATGGGACAACCTGATCGCCAAGCAATTAGCATTTTTAGAAGTAGGCTGGCAATGACAGCACCTCTATTGTTCCCACAACAGGTTTACTTTTTGGAAAATGTATTTAATTTATTTAGCTAAAGCACTGTGTATTATAAAAACTATAAAGAAACATGAAATGGAGTTTTCACCTTCCATTTATCCTTTTTCAGCATCTCAGCACTGATGTTCTTCGTTAACCTGTTTTTTTGTCCCTTCCAAACTATGTGTGACTTTTACAGTATAAAATTGCTCAGGTGGGCTTCCTGATGTCTTCTGACTTCCGGTTTACATTGGGAGTGCATGTGCAGGCAGAGGATGACAATGCCGAAGAGTTGGGAGAAAGTTTGCTGTCTATGTGCCTTACCTTATAATAATGGGTTCACAGCCTGTGGCTGCAGTTTTTAGTGTCATGGCTGACTGATTCCCTATGTGTATGTATTGCATCAGCTAGCTTGTCCTTATCTGTCAAAGGGACAAGTGGAACTTCCATGTCACTCCAGTGCATGACTCACCATCCACTCTGTGTTGCATCCAGGGGCGGACTGACCATTTGGAAACTCGGGCACTGTCTGAGGGCCCGGGGTAAGTAGGGGGGCCCCATGAGATGCCCCTGGTACCTTTTTCATAGGCTTTTTTGAGTTTGGGCAAGGACACAGGGGCCTCATGATCCCCTATTGCCCGGGGGCCCCATGAGTTGTCAGTCCGCCCCTGGTTGCATCACAAATGTGAGAGAACTAATGTAATAAAATAAGTCTTCCAGCTGCATGGTGAGCACTCTGTGTGTCTATTAATGCTCTGCCTCCTTGTGCCTGTGTCAGATCCAATTACTGTGTAGCTCTTACATACACCAGCTCTAGACTGAGAGACCAAGGGATTTTCATTTTTAGAGTTTCCAAAACCCCTAATTATGGCCAGCAGTCCCCTGCTACCCATGACATGGTCATAAATGTCTCTGGTCACTCAGAAAGAAATGCACATCTCCAATTAGTCTCTACTCTGGTGTCCTGAGGTGCTGGTCAATAAGGAGGGTAGGTATAACAGAATATCTGGCAAGAGACTGTATTCCACTGCAGTAAAATCTTTAGGTAACATGAACATGTGCCCAGAATATCAACCTTGAAGTATTTGCATATTGTTAAAAAGCAGTAAAAAAGCTTTACAACAAGCCACCCCTGACTTCTCTAGCTGCTTGTACTATGACGTATTTCATTGTCAATAGTCTCAATGATATCTAAAGGCTCAGGTTTCAATAGGTTTCTAAAAGCTTAGAGAAACACCAGCTGTGTGTTTAGAGTAGAGAGCTTGCAGTCTGCCAAGGTTCTGTTGCAATAAAAAGTAGTAAGAAGTAGTAAGATTTTAGTGCTTTTTATATAAAATTTGAAAAAGAATTTCTCTATAATGCCTGTAGCTACTAAGGTAAATTACATCTTATTTTAAGTACTTTTACTGCTTGTTCAGAATATGTAAGAACTTTAGTATGCACAGTCTGGGTACAGGTTCACTTTTAGCTAATGAAGGTGATCTAAACCTCAGTTTGAATGAAAGCACCTTTAGTTCTGTTAGGCATTTATTGCTGTACAGGTGAAACTCAAAAAATTAGAATATCGTGCAAAAGTTCATTTATTGCAGTAATGCAACTTAAAAGGGGAAACTAATATATGAGATAGACTCATTACATGCAAAGCAAGATAGTTCAAGCCGTGATTTGTCATAATTGTGATGATTATGGCTTACAGCTCATGAAAACCCCAAATCCACAATCTCAGAAAATTTGAATATTACATGCAATCAATAAAACAAGGATTGTACATAGAACAATATCAGACCTCTGAAAAGTATAAGCATGCATATGTACTCAGTACTTGGTTTAGGCCCCTTTTGCAGCAATTACTGCCTCAATGCGGCATGGCATGGAAGCTATCAGCATGTGGCACTGCTGAGGTTTTATGGAAGACCAGGATGCTTCAATAGTGGCCTTCAGCTCTTCTGCATTGTTCGGTCTCATGTCTCTCATCTTTCTCTTGGCAATGGCCCATAGATTCTCTATGGGATTCAGGTCAGGTGAGTTTGCTGGCCAATCAAGCACAGTAATCCCATGGTCACTGAACCAGGTTTTGGTGCTTTTGGCAGTGTGGGCAGGTGCCAAGTCCTGCTGGAAAATGAAGTCAGCATCCCCATAAAGCTCGTCTGCGGATGGAAGCATGAAGTGCTCCAAAACCTCCTGGTAGATGGCTGCGTTGACCCTGGACTTATTGAAGCACAGTGGACCAACACCAGCAGATGACATGGCTCCCCAAATCAACACAGGCTGTGGAAACTTCACACTGGACTTCAAGCATCTTGCAGTGTGTGCCTCTCCATTCTTCCTCCATATCCTGGGTCCTTGGTTTCCAAATGAGATGCAAAAGTTGCTCTCATCAGAAAAGATGACTTTGGACCACTGAGCAACAGACCAGGTCTGTTTTTCTTTAGCCCAGGTAAGACGCTTCTGACGTTGTTTGTTGTTCAGGAGGAATACGACATTTGATGCCCATGTCCAGGATCCGTCTGTGTGTGGTGGCTCTTGATGCACTGACTCCAGCCTCAGTCCACTTATCCTTTAAAGCAGTGGTCTCCAAACTGTGGCCCTGGGGCCAGATTTGGCCCTTTGCTTGCTTTTATCTAGCACCTGGGGCACTATTTCATCCACTGATACCAACAATTTCTCCTAATGATACCAACTATGAGGCCCAATGACACCAATGATGGGGCACAATTCCTCCCAATGACACAAACAATGGGGCACTATTGCTTCCACTGAGCTCAAAGATGGTGCATTTTTTTCCCACTGGCGACCTTTTCTGTTCCCAATGGCCACAGTCTGGCTCCCCTAAAAAGTGAAGGACATTAAATTGGCCCTTTGTTTAGAAAGTTTGGAGATCCCTGCTTTAAAGGATAATATCACCTTTTGCACAAAAATAATAAATGCACATTTTTTTGCAGGTAAAGGAAATGTGCATATATTATTTTTGTCTGCAGAAGCCTGTAAAGCATTGTACCAGCGATTAGCAGATTGCTGATGCTATGCAGGTGTCTTGCAGATCTGTCAGTATATCTGCTTGCCCCTACAAGATGTATGGGCAAGCAGAGATACTGACAGGAAGATTCAATGAGCACCATGGTAGTTCATTGAAAACTACAAGCCCTGTCGGGACTTGCAGTTCAGTCATTCACGGAAGTCTGTGAATGAATGTCGTGACGTGTAGGCAGAGCCCCGCATGACTGCGCTGTTTTAAAACCTGACAGTACGCGGGGACCTTCTCCCTATACTTTTGCCGGGGGGGGGGGGGGGGGGGTAGCAGTGGGCGGCGGGTGGAACATGTACCATGTTCACAAAGGTGAAATTATCCTTTAATGATTGTACATATTTCTGAAGGTTATGTTTAGTAAGAAAACAAATTATTCTAGTTATCAAGTTTGAAAAATGATTTGCAAATATGTAATCAAAGTGTAAAATATTCAGATTTCTTTTCTCTATAAAGTACACTAGGGCAGCTTTAAGAAATTATATTAGTTCATCTACATTTATTGATAAGAGCAAGAGCTGGAAAATTTTTCCACTGATGTAAAAAACCTTCACAAACAGCAATATTCTTATAGTAAAACATTTTTTTAGAAGGACTTATTTTCTGCTTTGTCAGTTTGCTAAAGCATCTAAAAGTCTGCAAGGCACTGAGTGACAGATGTACCATGTCATTCAAACTGACATAGATTTTAGAATCTAAGTTTTCTTTTCATATTATTTCTGTAGAAAAACACCAAAACACATCTTTCATCATTTTATCATTCATCTTTTATCGCTTAGGATCACAATTTAAAACCTTTTCATTTTAAAAGAAATAGAGATATTTGTTAAAGATGTCTGGCTCCTTTAAGTGCCCCTGTGCTATTTTATTCCCTTCATATTCTCTGTTGGATTCCATATTGGGCTTCTAGTTCTGACAGCTTTGAAAATGAATCCAGGCTAAAATCAACATTTAATATTGATCTTAAAAAATGACAACCCAACTAAAGGCATGTTTGAGTCTGAATCCAGAAAGCTATGTTCTTTGTAAATTCCATTTGTTTTTGTTTTACTTTGCCTGGCTGTTTGTTACAGAGCTTTTTATAGCGTCATTCTTGTGTATGAAACTTCGCGTTGAGTTTAAATGGCAATTGTAATCAGAATTCTGGACACATACATGCAAATTAGTGCATTCTCAGTCAATTCTTTTGCATCTGCCCTTTGCAGGGATATCTCAAAGCATTAGCTCTCTGAATTAAGCAGTTTGGATAGTTAAACCTGGGTTAAGGACATACACAGACAAAGAGGCACTTGGGAATGTCAAAGACACCCCACTGGAGCTCATCAGTCTAATTTCAAAACAGTGCAATGTGTAATAGATTTTCTGCTGCATTTATTGTTTTGACTTTAGGACTTTATTCAATTATGCACAGTTATCTGTGAAGGCAGATTTTAAACATCTGGCAATTGCACATTTTAGTTACAGACTCCCGTTGATGTTTAAAGTGGTATAGCACAGAATATTTCAGTAAGTGCTCTTGGGGTGATTTCAAAGTCTGTATATTGTGTTTTATATGGCAGATGCTTGTTCATTTTCTAGGCCAGCCAAGCCTAGAGGGCAAAGTAAAGTACTGTAGTAACTTACAGAAACCACATATAATTAATATTTTACTGATATGTGAACTGTAAACTGACATTTGATTAGTTGTTGTGGGTTACTTTGCACATTGGTCTATGTACTGGAGAGAAAAAAGTCTGGTGCATCTGTATCCATTAAATTATATTAAATCGCTGTCCAGGAACAGATATACCACTTGTAGATAGTGCAGCTGCCCTCTGGGACTAAGGGACCCATTCATGCTAGATGGGAGTTGGGCAGATGATTGGACCCCCCTCCCTCTTTTGTATAAATCTGGACATTGCAGGCTTCCAGGGCATATAGAAAGTAGGAGATATTAACCATGCTAATGTAACCACTTTATTTGTTTATAACTCCAAGTGGTGTTAAGAAGCATGCAACTCCTTGACTGTTTGCCTGACTGATACTGAAATATGAAAAATGCTTCTCGTATTTTCCCTTGGCACCATTTGAATTGGAAGAAAAGAGGGTGGTCACTGTCTGACCACTATCTCATGCCATGAATCATGAGGGCATTCAGTGTATCACAAAGACTACTATCTATCTATCTATCTATCTATCTATCTATCTATCTATCTATCTATATCTATCTATCTATCTACCTATCTACAGTATCTATCAACTTTAAAAAGAATATGTATTTATGTATTTTACTTGGGCAATTTTAAATTGAGGCACAAAAAATGTTCAACAGAGGATCTGATATGACTAGGTCAAGAACTACCACCACTTTACACCATGCTCCCAAGATATCTTAGATGTTCTTTTTTGAAGGCTAGTATCTAATTTTAAATTGAAGATAAATATAAAAAAAGCAGGATGTAGTGAAAGTGCCTCCTGATAACTTCCCCGACTTCTACCCAGCATGATATACTCACCATTCTGTGTTCTTTTCCTGTCTTCCCAATGAAGGCGTCTACCCTGGGTAATCTACAGAGTCAAAGTGGATAATGTCTCTGTCCCCTCACAAATGGTGCTGGATAGAAAGTACATCCTTCAATACTGCTTGCCCCCCACCCTTATGACAGTGTTCAGATCCAAAC